GATTGTGTGTTAGGTACCGGTTCTTGACTTCTTATGCATTAAATACTAGATGTGATTCTCTGTGTCAATACTACGTGCTAGATACGGATTCTTGAACGTATGAGCATATTGTGTGTGTAAGATACTAATTCATGTGTCCTATATAATAGTTTAAATTGCATCAAGTTCTTAGTGTTAGATATTAGTTCTCATTATTGTGGGTTAGATACCGATTTTTGTGATTTAGATACTTATTCCGATGCTTTATGTACAAATTATGTGTGAGATACTACTTTTCGTGTGCATTAGATATTGGTAGTTGTGCGTTAGATACTAAATTTTTATGGATCGAAAGCATGACCTTTATATACTTTGCATTGTGAGTTTTTTTATTTATTTTTCATTTATAACCTAGAATGATCACAAAATGTAGACATGGGTGTTGAATGTATTTGAAGAGATCTTTACCGTTCTTGAACACTACCACACACACCTTTCTATCCACTAAGAAATTAGCGAGTGTTGGGGAGAATACGCTCACTCGTTTGGGAATGATCTAATGACGTGCCGCTGAGAGATCACCATCGTTCTTGAAATCGATGTACTCTACTTCATGAGAGCAATAAAAACTTAATATTGATAGTTTCACCCAGAAAGTGCTACTTCCTCCAAGTTTTAATATTGTTTTATTTTAAAGCTCATGTCCAATTTGGGCAATTTTTAAAGACACACATATTTTTTGTGATCTATCGATCATAGTTAGTATTAAAAATTATTTTGTTTTTTGGGGGGAGAGGGTGTGATACCTAAAGGTAATTCATAAAACACTAAAAACGTGAAAACTAATTTTCCTAATTTTACAAAAAAAAAATATATATTTAACATACATCATTGCAAAGATCTTGAAAAATATGTGGCTTAACAAAAAAATTACCATGATCAAATACCTAAGCGCTAAAAAAGTGTATTTAAAATTACTGATAAGTCATGTTTTTTGTTCTGGTTCCATATCAAAACCATAATAAATGTGTTTTTCAAGATCTATGCAATATTGTTAGTTTAGAAAGTGTAGAAATAATTTTTGCATGTTTTATATTTAGAATATACTTTATTTCTTACTTAAACGTTCTGCCAGGTAACATTTCTTAAGCGGTAAAGACGTGAAAATTGAGTTATTTTATACATCTAAATATGCATTGTTCATGTGAATTTTATATTGTTGTGTAAAAATGTGGTTCAAAAAAGTTATCTTGGCCAATCATCTAAAGCCAATTAAAACAAATTGTAGGTGTGTCACTCTCTCTACATATGTGCATCTACGCGCTGAACAAAATAGTGATTAATATGTAAGTTATTTCACGCACATGTCTCCATTGATTTGACTTTATTAAATTTGTGATTCTCATGTGCAATGGATATTGTTTGTGTCGTTGCCTTTTTAGATATGCAAGTTGTGGACAACAAAATGTCAGAGTGACTTTTATTACAAAAGGGTTTAATAAGTAAAAAATAGAAGGGTTTAGTAATTGAAAAAAGTGGGTTGAGAAGTTATGAGGACACGTGGGAAAGCAGAATAGTGTTCATGACAGATATGGTCAATACATTCGATATCAAATGAAACAAAACCAACAATCTGAGCAAATGAGAAAGAATGCCTCATGCATTTTAGTTCATCCACTGACTGTATACGGATACAGTGGCTTTTGAGATTGTCATTGCGTGGACATGATGAGTCCCATGAATCAAATAAACAGGTGAACTTTCTTGAATTCTTAACATTCCATGCCATAATGAAGATGTTTCAAATATAGTGATGTGAAATGCACCCGGAAAACTATCCGTCGACTTCTCACTTTTCCACCTATCCAAAAATCTATTCTCAATGCAATTTCAAAAGAGAAAGCAAATATCATCTTTAAGGAAATCGGAGATATTTTTTGGGAATATTAGTTGATGAGTCTAGAGACATCAATAAAAAAGCATATGGTGATATTCATTTGACATGTGAATGTTCATGGGAGTATTATTGAGCATCTTCTTGGAGTTACTCATGTAAGTGATACTACTTCATCACATAAGACAGCCATATCAGATCTCCTAACACGACACAGATTAAGTATTTCAAGAATACAAGGCTAGGGTTATGATGGAGCAAGTAATTAATATGCAAATTGATTTCAATGGCCTAAAAACTTTAATTTTGAATGAGAAACCAAGTTCTTTTTGTCAGACCACAGGCCACGTTCGCGGCACGTAGACAACCGTCGTACAACCCAACAAGGATAACCACAGTCCATCTCATTAAATTGTACAAGGCATCCGAAAGATTCATTCACCAATCTGGTCAGTAAACACATATAAACAACATCAATATTTAGTATTAAACAAAGTGCAAAATACAATTGTTTGATAACAGGAACACGTGGCAATCATGAGCACACATGCTCCAAAATGTTTGCAAAACATGATAATTTAGAAATATCCATGAGCAATTACATTTTTGTTTGGAATAGGAACAAGAAGCACGAACCACGTCTTCCGTGAGGTGATCACCTGAACAATGGTGTAGGAAATAGACTCTAGTCTCGACCTGAAAAATAGTGAGGGTCCCCAAAGGGGTCAGTACTTCACAGAAAGAAGTACTGGGGACATGCAGACTTTATGAGCGATAACCAACGCTTCAAGTATACCACTTAAACATAGGGTGATACATACATATAGAGGCGTAACCTACATTACCCCAACCACGAGGTCATACACATAGTATATACTTGTAAAATATCTGACCCAAAGATCATTTGTTTTAATCAAAACAATTATAAGGGTTTAGGTTGTTTTTACTTGGACTATAATTCGTCTCAGACCAGACCAGACCAAAATAGACCAGACCAGACCATATTTCATTATTATTATTATTATTGTTATTGTTATTGTTATTAGTATTAGTATTATTACTATTATAGCTCTTATTACTATTATTATTACTATTATTATTATCATCATCATCATCATCATCATCATTAGTAGTAGTAGTAGTAGTAGTAGTAGTAGTAGTAGTAGTATTGTTATTGTTGTTATTATTAATACTTGTACTATTTTATTATTGTTTGGTTTAGTGTGTTCGTATTTTAAGTCATACAAGTGACAAAATAATATAGATGATCTTGATTTGTAAAAAACAAAGAAATAAAAATAAATAAATAAAATCTTGATTTGTAAAAAAAATTGTATGAATAATGGGTAAACTATAAATCTTTTTAGAACAAAAAAAAGTACTACTCCCTCCGTTCCTAAATAAACTTCCAACTTTCTTTTTTCGTTCGTTCCAATTAAAACTTCCACTTTCTTTTTTTGGTAAACAATTTGTGGTTCACAACATTTCTTACACATTTCTCTCTCCTCTGCACAACTCTCCATCACACAATATCAACTATCTTAAACTTTGTGCCAAACCCATACGGAGTAATAAATATCATCATGCATTTGTTGCTCTGGGTTTCTGAACGTCTTCCCAAATTTGTTTCGCAATTTCCACGCGAACATTGTTCATAGCTTCTTTTCACCCATTGTTGAACATATCTGAATCAACCATGCCTTCTTCATTCCCTTCATGTTCATAAATTGGCATTCCCATTTTGCACATGCTGATCAAATTATGAAGTGTAAAAGTAGAGAAAATAATCGCTTGTTGATGCTCTTCTTTCATTTTGGGCATATTGCGAAGTATCTTCCACCTTTTCGGTCTGGGATGGAAATCAGTCCAAGTAAAACGATAAAAATTTTCGATAAATTGAAAGGAATATTATTATTTTTAATTATAAATGAATAAAATATATTTTTTTATGGATTATAATATATATAAAAAATAAAATCTTTATGCAAAAAATATAAACAAAATCAGACCAGACCAGACCAAAACAGACCAGACCAGACCAGACCAGACTAAAACAAACCAAACCAGACCAGACCAGCAAATTACAGTCCAAGTAAAAACATCCTTAGTCCTCAGACCCTCAACATTTCCCTTATAACAAACCTCAGGTATCTAGTCTGTCGGCTCTGTTCTATATTCATCCTATTGAGTGTTAGGTTGAACGTTCCTGGTTCTGGATTTGACTAGCCCATACTAGAAATATTAAGTCGGGCTCCTGATCCTGAGTTTGACTAGCCCATACTAAAAATATTAAACCGGATGTTCCTGGTCCTTTGTTTGACTAGCTCATACTAGAAATATTAAGTTGGACGTTCTTGGTCATGGGTTTGACTAGCCCATACTAGAAATATTAAGTTGGACGTTCTTGGTCCTCGGTTTGATTAGCCCATACTAGAAATATTAAGCTAGACGTTCCTGGTCCTGTGTTTGACTAGCCCATACTAGAAATATTAAGTTGGACGTTCTTGGTCCTAGGTTTGACTAGCTCATACTAGAAATATTAAGTTGGACGTTCATGGTCCTGGATTACTCACTCATCCCTATTCTATCATACATTTTGTCTAAGTATGACTAGCAATAATATTTAACTCCATTGGTACCTCCCCAGTTAGGTAATAATTTACCAAGGACCCTACGAGTCCACACCAAGGCTAAAGTACCGACCTACGTGCAATTGAGCCTTTGAATTGGGCTTTCAGGTCCCCCATTAGTTAATCGGGTCATCACTTGAGCGCCTTCAGGTTGCCCATGGTACCCCGGTCGGGGTTCGCAAGTCCCAAACTCGAGTGGCAATCTCGAGCGACAAACATCATGGGCACTAAGAACCAAACTTTTTTAAAGCGAAAAGCGTCCAAAAGCGATGACCTTGGGCTTTGCTTAAAAGCAAAAGCGCCAAGCGAAGCGTAGCTTTCTCACAAAAAGCGATGCTTAAAAAAATAAAAGAAAATATAAAATATAATGTATAATTATGCAAAAAATGCATTAGTAGTCATAAAAGTCATTCAAAATAATACTAGTGCGGCATAAAGTTTCAAAACCTTCATCACACAATTACGCAAAAACACATAACTAATCATAAAAGTCATAAGGGTAATACTAGTGCAAATATCCTCATGTGGTTTAAAAAGCTCCTTCACATGCTCTACTTCCTTTTTAAGATATGGCACTCGAACTTCATGATAAGCAGGAGCTTTCATCCCGGGTCCATGTTGTGCGACAGCATCAATGAAACTTTGTAATACTACCTCCGTCCCTTAAAACTTTGCCAAAGTTGACCGGCACGGAGAATAATAAAGTAAAAACTGTGTGGTTGAGGTTTGTGCAGAGGAGAGAGAAATAACAGAAACCACAAAAAAAAATTGATTAAAAGGGAAAGTGGCAAAGTTTTTTGGGACGTCCAAAAAAGGAAAGATGACAAAGTTTTAAGGGACGGAGGGAGTATCTTGTAATTGACACAGTTAAAGGGCAATCCAGCTTCATACATACATCGTGCAAATGCACCAACAGTCCTTTCCCTTAACTCTTTCTTGCAAGATGCTAGAGTTACTTCTGCCCCTCTTGCCCTCTTCAAAGTTCCTTGTTCTTTTGAAACCGTTTTGGAATACAAATTCATGGGCCCTTTGGTTGATGATGCTTTTCTCATAGCATCTCCAAGCTCCAGCTCTTCAACATCATCATCATCAAAATCATGGGTGGAAAAGTTCTCTCTCATATCTTCTTTTCTTTTACTTTTGTTATCAAGAAGCTCCTTCACGGCAACTCTAACTTCTTGTAGACACTTAGAACACGCCTTAACACATTTAAAGCCACCGGCAAGATGTTGTTTGTGAAGATATATACCCCCACGGGTGATTTTATCACAATATATGCATCGCACACGTGTGTAATCGTTTGGCGTGACCCTTAACCCATGCTCACAAGCAGGATCCTGACTTTTAGATTGTTCTCCAGACACTTTTGTCTACAATTCTACATATACATATTTCACAATTATTTAATCAAGTCACCAAGCAAGTGTACAAAGAGCAATACCTTATTACTTAGTGGAATAAACTAAAAATTAGTTAATCAATGAAAGGAAAGAAATAAACTTAAATGAAGTAATTAAGTAAAAATTATTTAATCAATAAACTAAAAGGAATAAACTGGAATGAATTAAAAATTAATTAATCAATAAACTAAAAGGGGCATAAATTGGAACGAACAAAAAATTAATTAATCAATAAAGTGAAAGGAATAAACTGGAATAAACTAAAAATTAATTAATCAATAAACCGAAAGTAATAAAATGGAATTTAATTTAGCTCCGAATACATTTGAGTAACTAACTACTAATGTGAAGACAGATTGATCTTTCTGTAAATAATTTACTACATTAATTCTTGATAGAATAATAAGTACAATTACCAGTTACTACCAAGAAAATGATTTCATTCTTCAACAAAAGGTATTATATATAATTTAGTTGTTTAAAACTATCATAATTACCAAGAAAGTGATAATATAATGATTTCTTTCATTCATATTATATATATATAATATAGGCTATTATATATATATATATATATATATATATATATATATATATATATATATATATATATATATATATATATATATATATATATATATAACATAGGCTATTTTAGAAGCTTATTATAGAAACAAACAGAGCAAGAGTATATAATATAGGCTGTTTTAGTTTGCCAAAAAAACATAGGCTCTTTTAGTTACCAAAAAAATACAGGATGTTTTGGAAGCTTATTATACAAACAGATTATAGAGTAAGATAGAAACAAAGTAAAGTGAGCTGCGGAAGTCAGGGCTCCAACTACAATCACAGAGTAAACTGTAAAATTGAAGAACGATGATGAAATAGAACCTGCACAACACCAGCGAGAAAGTCTGGGAGAACTCTTCTTCACCTACGAGTCGCGACTTGGAAACAACGGTCACCTGGGAGAACTCCTCTTCACCTGCGATTTCTTCAACTATTTCTGGAGTGCGGCTATGTCTGAAGTGGGAAAGAGTCGAACGACTCTTACGTGATAACCCTAACTTGTAGCGTCGAGACGAGAAGACCACTTTTTTTTTAAAAAAAATTGACCGGTCAATTTACCGCTTTTTGTGAGAATCCAGGAAAAGCGATCGCTTTTCATTAAGCGAGCTCAAGCAAAAGCGCCGGAAAATTTTCGCTTTCTCATGGCGCGACGCTTCTCAAAAGCCAGGTGCATGCTTAGCGCCCGCCTGCGCTTTGTCGCTTTTAGGCGCTTTTTACCGCTTTTAACAAGTTTGCTAAGAGCTCGAGTGTAGAGCACTGGTGACAAACTCGAATGAAGATCATGGGTGATGATCTCAAATGAAGATCACGAGTGACACTTGAATGAAGATCGCGGGTGGCACTCTAAACAAGAGATCACGGGTGACACTCTAAATAAAAGTTCATGGGTGGCACATTGAATACGATCACAATTGGCCCTTTAAATAAGATGATGGGTTCCCTTTTGAATAAGATCACAGGTGATCTTTTAAATAGGATCACGGCTGGCCCTTTAAATAGGATCACAAGTGGCCTTTTAAATAAGACCACAGGTGATCTTTTAAAGAAAATCGCGGGTCACAAATAGCGAGCCAAGATCGCGGGTCTGCAAGTTTGTTCACAATTTCGTTCATAACTTCCTGATGGACGACTCACATCCTTCGATTCAAAAAGTGTCGGATGCATCCCGTTGAGTTCTACAACTCTTAAGAACACACCAACTCCAAATTGCCAACAGAAAGAAAGTTATCTTTCTGATACACATCTGGTTTGCAAATCTATTCTAGTTTTGCGAAAACAACATATCTTACTAAAAGGGTCATAACTCTCTGATAGTATAGAATTGTTATTGTTTATATTTGTAATTTTAACTAATTTTTATTAGTTCTAGTTGTGGAAATTACACACTTTTGGTGTAATACTTTATTGGGAAAAGTATGGAAAATGTACTTGTGGTTGAGCCCGTTTTCAGATAGGGTCATATGTTTCATTCTTTATCAAAGTGGTTCATGTGTTTGAATTCCGTTATCACAAGAGGGTCACGCCGTTAAAAACATCTGAAAAAGACCGTTAAAAGTAACTCAAGATTTCAAAAGTGGCCGAAAAAATTAAAAGAAAAATACCGGAAGGTGTGCCTCAATAAGACGACCGCTAGGACATCTTTCTATTTTGTTTTCAGCCACCCTTGTCACCGGAAATTCCATCGAAAAAATGATATTAGCAAAATCATTTTTAAAAAATAATTCAAACATATTTGAAAAATCCAAAGGCGAAGGTGGTTTGGAGGTCATCTTATTGAGGCGCACCTTTCGGTATTTTTCTTTTGATTTTTCGGGCACTTTTGAAAACCGGAGTTACTTTAGATGGTCTTTTTCTGACGTTTTTAACGGCGTGACCCTCTTGTGATAACGGAATTCAAACACATGAACTACTTTGATAAAAAAAACAAACACATGACCCTATCTGAAAGTGGGCTCAACCACAAGTACCTTTTCCGTACTTTTCCCTACTTTATTTTCATAATTATTTGTAATTTGTTTAGATTAGGACTATTCTGAGCTAAATAGGTCAAAGATCATCCAAGGGATCAAGATTGGACCTCAAAAGATCAAGAAAAGTTCAAGAAGATAAGAAAGATTTCGATTTGGAAAAATTACTCTTATACCCGGTCGGGTATAGGCAATACCCGATCAGGTATTTGCTTGATTCGATTGTCCAAATCAAATCCGGGAACAAATGATCGTGGGAGCAAATTTTCGTAAAGATTTGTCACATACCCGATCGGGTATGCCGACATACCCGATCGGGTATTCCCAGAAAAGTGAATTTCTGGGAAATTTCCTAAGATACCCGGTCGGGTATCCTATATACCCGGTCGGGTATCCTATATACCCGATCGGTTATCAGACCCGGCAGCTCCCAAAAGCCTATAAATACACCCCTTTCCCTCCCACAAAAGATCACCAATTCACATGTACTTCTAAGCTCAGTTTAGAATAGTTCTTTCTTTATATTTTCATCATGTTTAGTCTCCAAATGAGGAGCTAAACTCTTCCATCTTGGTTTTGCTACTTTTAAGCTTAATGAATTTGTAAGTTGTGAGTTATTCTCTTTAATTTTCTTCCTTGAATATTAATTCTTTCTTTAAATACTATTTCTATATCAATGTTGGGGAGTATTACTAAGATGACAATTAGTTGACATCTTGCCATTAGTTATAGTAATAGTTATTTCTTCCTCTATGTTAATATTGGGGAGTGTTACTAAGATGACAATTAGTTAACATCTTGATATTAACTATAGTAGGATTCATCTTCTTTAATATTCTTCCTTGAGTATTAATTAATTACTATTCATATTTTATATTAATATTGTGAATATTATTTAAAGGATCAACTTGTTTTGTTTCATATATTAATTATTACTAGAATTTCCATCATTTGCAATGGAGCCAAAGATTCATTATTTTTTGGCTTGATATTATGATGGAATAAAGAAAAATGGCTCACTAAACTGTCTGCGCTTCTTTGTAATGAAGCAGCAGTCAGTCCATGCAATTTTGGACGCGATTTTCACTATGGGTCATCCGGAAACAGTCTCTCTGTGCTTTAGTATAGGGGTAAGACTGCGTACATCCGACCCCCCCTTACCCCACCGTAGGTGGGAGCCTTTGCGGCACTGGGGTAAATGAAAAAAAAAAATTAATTATTACTAGAATCGATCGATTAATACGCTTGTTATTAATTTGGCTCATTCACGGTAGTAAACTTGGATTATTAATGCATGCGTCTCATGGTTAATAATCTAAGGGGAATTAATTATGTTGATTAAACCAATAAACCGTTTGTGTTGAGGTTATCAATCTCAATCGTTTTCATCTTGATTTTATTGCTACTATCGGGTTGATATACAACGCGTGTTCTATATTGACTCGGTAGTAAATTTCATTAATGAACGCGTCTCGTTATTAATAACTACCCTCGATTAACTGGATATACTCCTCGATTGAGTATTCGAGAGGAAGATAGTTAAAGATATAACCGGGATCGACGAACATTTCGTTAAGTGGATAAAAGCAAAGCTAAGTCGTTCATCTTAGTGTTTAAATACATTTAAGATTATCAACCATTATAAAATCTCCCACTTGTCACTAGTTACATAAAAGATAAATATTCCTTTCCCTGTGGATACGAACCTTACTTCGTTATACTACGTATAATCGTTGTATTGTATTTACTTTGAGTGCACATTGCGACAAAGTGGACGTCAAATTTGGCGCCGTTGCCAGGGAAAGACAATTATTTTTCTTTTTATTTTCTCATAAAAATAAAAAACAATATATATATATATATATATATGTGTGTGTGTGTGTGTGTGTGTGTGTGTGTGTGTGTGTGTGTGTGTGTGTGTGTGTGTGTGTGTGTATAACTTACTCTTCTATTTTCTGAGCTTACATGAGTTATGAGTATATGGATACCAACACTTCATCCTTAGAGAGTCAAATTTCCTTCTTGACTTCTCTAATAAAGGAATTTACCTTAAGCTCAAAAGCTCAAGATGCCAAGACATGCAACATTTGCATGTCTCACAGGCATCTTACAGATTTCTGCCCAAAGCTCCAAGAAGAATACCTTGCACAAATTTATTATGTACCTCACATGAGGTATGATCCATTCTCCAACTCTAATATGTCAACGGAGGAAATGGTTCAGACTCTTACTAACAGCGTGACCACCATGCAACAAGACATGGTGCAATCCCAAAATAAGACCAAGTCCAGCATTTTAAACTTGGAAACTCAAATGAGTCAAACAGCCGGAGCCGTGAGTAGGTTTGATGCAAGGGATTCAGAAAAACTTCCTTCTCAAATAGAATGTGATCCTAAACAGCAAATTTTTGCAATCACATTGACAAATGAAAAGGAAATGCAAAAGAAGATCCAGAATCCAGAAGAAGTAGAGGAAGAAAAAGACACGAAACTCCAACTGGTCAAAGAAGAGGATAAGCTGAGTTTCAAATTCAAATTTTTGTCCTTGTCATCCTTTGAGGTATCTCCATCATCTCTGGAAGCTTTAAGAGAAACTCGTAAACTTGGAAAGGACAATGACATTTTTGAAATCTTCAACAAAATTGAGGGATCAAAACATTTTCAGTTAACCATGTTTAACGATAATTTCTTTCCCTCACTCCCACCACATGAATCAATGAAAATCTGGATATTTGATCCTGGGAAGATTTTCAAAGTGAAGAGTCGAGAAATTGAGCATTCCTATGGAAGTCCTGAGAGTGAAAATGTGAAGAAGATAAACTATCACGATCCAAGTTTGAATGATTGAACACAATAATAGCATCGTGCCACGACGTTAAATAAAGCGCTTCTTGGGAGACAACCCAAAACAAGGTACACATTTTTCATCTTTTATTTTCAATTTTTGTTTTGGAATGTCAACTTTGAGAAAATGGGGAAACTCTCAAAAGAAAATAAGGGAAAATCATGTTTTGAAAGCCTGAGAAATCTCCTATCGATCATCATCACTTACTCGGTCGGATCCATGCCAAAAGAGGATGAAATTGGACAAAATCACGCCCCAGGGTAGTGTACCCGATCGGGCCCCACAACTGCATCCGATCGAGTACAGATGAAAAAGGCTGGGTTGTGGAGCAAAAACCTCACACCCGATCAAGTCAGGGCTGAAGACAAGGTCAGTACCCGATCGGGTAGACCTATGACGCGATCTGGTATAAATTCAAAAAATTAAGAATTTTCTTCGTCTCGATTCACCCGATCGAGTACCCCCAAAAACACGATCAGGTACGAACCCGTGGAGCATTTCTGGAAAAAAGGCGAACTACCCGATCGAGTACACCCATATACCCGGTCGAGTGAATTAATGTTTAAAGCTGGAATTTCCACGGCGCAATTTGCCCGATCGAGTAAAACCCAAACTCGATCGGGCCCGATCCCGAAACATGAGGAAACAAGAGAGTACCCGATCGGGTATGTCGGGCCACCCGATTGGGTAATCTGGATCTTAAACCCAAAACAACACCCAAATCTCCATCTTCTTCCCCAATTCAAACCCTCAATCGACAAACCCTCCCCCAAATCACCATAGTCAAATTTTCTTTCTCAATTTACCCCCTCTTTCGATCCTCCCCATCTCTCACCCAAATTCAAGCCTCTCTCTCACAATCCCAATGCCAAACACACCAAACTCTAAATCCCAAACAACCTCAAATTCACTATCCCTTTGATCCGAATTTATTTGAAACCCTTAATTTTTGTTTTCATCCACTCCCCTCAGATCCCAACCCCCCCCCAAAAAAAATCCAAACAAAGACGACATGAGAGCACTAGAGACAGTGCTCGGACTAAGTAGGGGGGAGTCACTCATTTGATATGTACTCATTATTTCAAGCTTGAACTTGCATTATTCTTTAAAAATACAAAAAAAAGCTAGTTAGATTGAAAACCCAAAATTGGGCAATCCAAGCAAAAGTGGCTAAAATGAATGAGTTGGGAGAAGAAGGAAAATAAAAAGAGAGGCTAGGATGAAAACTTAAAAAGGCTCCTAGGCAGAATGAGAGAATGAGAGGAAATTTTATCTGCGTTTATACACGAACTCATTTCATTTGAGAGTTTTTGGGACGCAAGCAATGAAAAGAATAGTTGTTCGTGAAGATCATGAAACCCCTCTTTCTTTGTAAATTGAGGATGAATGAAAATCTGAACATTTTTTTTTCGAATTTGTCTGTTCTGTGGATTGTGAACTGTTATGGCGGCTTTTACTCAAGGACGAGTAATGGACTAAGTAGGGGGGAGTTTGATAGTATAGAATTGTTATTGTTTATATTTGTAATTTTAACTAGTTTTTATTAGTTCTAGTTGTGGAAATTACACACTTTTGGTGTAATACTTTATTTTCACAATTATTTTAAATTTGTTTAGATTAGGACTACTCTGAGCTAAATAGGTCAAAGATCATCCAAGGGATCAAGATTGGATCTCAAAAGATCAAGGAAAGTTCAAGAAGACAAGAAAGATTTCGATTTGGAAAAATTACTCTTATACCCGGTCGGTATAGGCAATACACGATCGGGTATTTGCTTGATTAGATTGTCCAAATCAAATCCGGGAACAAATGATCGTGGGAGAAAATTTTCGTAAAGATTTGTCACATACCCGATCGGGTATGCCGACATACCCGATCGGGTATGCCGACATACCCGATCGGGTATGGCCTGAAAAGTGAATTTCTGGGAAATTTCCTAAGATACCTGGTCGGGTATTCTATATACCCGGTCGGGTATCAGACCCTGCAGCTCCCAAAAGCCTATAAATACACCCCTTTCCTTCCCACAAAAGATCACCAATTCACATATACTTCTAAGCTCAGTTTAGAATAGTTCTTTCTTTATATTTTCATCATGTTTAGTCTCCAAATGAGGAACTAAACTCCTCCATCTTTGTTTTTCTACTTTGAAGCTTAATGAATTTGTAAGTTGTGAGTTATTCTCTTTAATTTTCTTCCTTGAATATTAATTCTTTCTTTAAATACTATTTCTATATCAATGTTGGGGAGTGTTACTAAGATAACAATTAGTTGACATCTTGACATTAGTTTTAGTAATAGTTATTTCTTCCACTATGTTAATATTGGGGAGTGTTACTAAGATGACAATTAGTTAAATGGTCAAATAAGCCCATGTACTGATAAAAAGGGTCAAATAAGGCTTTATATAGGAGGCTATGTCCGGCCATCGTCATTTGGGGCGGTTCTCGATGGAAATTTCTGATGCAATTTTTTGAGCATATTATTCATTAAGTCTAGTTTACTCATACCAAATTTCAGGTAAAACGTCAATCGGGAAGACATTCAAATGAATTCTTGAAGAAAACTGCGCAGTTAAAAGCGCAATTATCTTCAAGAATATATGTGAATACCTTCCCAATTGAATTGTTAGCTGAAATTTGGTATGAGTAAACTAGACTTAATGCCGAAGACCGGAAAGAGCCTCATATATAAAGGCTTATTTGACCTTTTTTAATTAGTAATTGGGCTTGTTTGCCCCTTTTTCCTTATATATTTTTATAGGATCAAAATTATACTTATGAAATAATATGAGAGTGTATTAAATGCTTAATAAGTAGTATTGTTAGTTGATTAATATGATTAATAACTACTTTTTATTATAATTTTGTATATAGTTATATGTTTATTGTTATTGTACGTATAGATGTATAATCGTTGACCGATTTTCCGACGTTGATCGAGTTGACCCACCAGATTCGGGTTGACCCGTGACCCAGTCACTTGACCGGGTCGCTCACTGGTTAGGTTTTTACAACATAGGATATGATCTCTCGCTCGATAAGACGATAATGCGATAACATCTTATGCTGTGATTTTTTAAAATAAAACTCAACTAAGGAAAACACTATTTATACAAAAAATCAATTGCAAATGTTCAGTGTAAAACTGATTTAGATACTAAAACGTACAAAAGCCGACTAGTATTCCATAAATACCAAACAAATTAAGCATTGACAACATTATTCGATCTCCACAAACAAAGTAACGAAGTAAAACGAACTATAGTATGTGGGAAACGTACAAAACAAAAATTGAGATTTATGACTTTCAATATCAATTTATTGATCGTCTAAATTTAATTTTTTTTGGTATAGAATTTTTGGGAGCAAGAATGACAAGTAATTTCCATGCAAGTAGAATCGATCTTCAACGTCGCTCTCTCTTGGAGCTGCTCGACCTTCATCACCTCCTCACGCGCCCTTTCCCAAATGCTCCTCGCACGCGCGAATTCCGACTGAGCCATCTCTATCTCCCGCCTCGTCAACTCCCTCACGCGCTCCGCGTATGCTTTCTCCATGGCCGCCAGCCGAATTTGCTCAGCCGCCTGCCACCTCAACGCCTCCAAGTACCCGACGTCGAACGTCACCGCGTCCTTGTTGTATACCCTCTCCGGCGGTGGTTTCATCAACGGCCTCACGCTTATTGACAGCTGCAGGTCTAAAGACGGGCCCTCGAACGCGTCCATGGACGGTCGAGATTTCATCAGTGCTACTGATTCAGAGTGCCAGGGCTGCGCGTGGTACGTCGAGGCGGCAGCAGTTTTAGTGGCGGCGGCGGGCAGCAGCTGAAAGTGTCGTACCTCTTTTTGCGGTTCATCTTCCATTTGTTATTGAAGTCTCCCTGGCTAATTAAAAGGCAAGATTTAAAAATTCCAACATACCGAGTATTTTCACTACAGTACAATTTACGCAGTACCTCGTATTTATTAACAAACGTAGAATTAAATTAAAACAATATTAATATATGTTTTTACTTGGATTGAAATTTACTGAGCTGGTCTGGTCTGTTTAAGTCTTGTCTAGTTTGAACAAGTCTCTGTGTATTTTATAACTATGAAAGTTTGGTCTGGTCTGATCGATTTAAGTCTTATCTAGTGTGGTCTGATATGTTTAAGTCTGGTCTAGCTAGTCTATGACTAGGACAGTAGGACTGGAAACACTCCAAGTAAAAACACTCCTAGATTCCTCTCATTTTAAATTTTCAAAATATGAACTTTTTAATTTTTTTAATAAGAAATAAAACACATGAATGATCAAAGTTGTGCATCCCTAATATAAAAAGGAGAAATTAATAAGAATAGTCCCACCTTTGGCCGACCTGCTCATAATAATCTCACTTTTACGTTATCTCGAAATAATTCCACATTCGCACCCCATATTTTTTCGTTGAACCCTAACCGGTTGGTGAGCTACTATACCGTTTTTTTTGTTGCATTTTTTGGAAAACTTACATAAATAATTCCATCTTTCATAAATATGTTCAAAACAATCACATGTTTCATTTTTTCTTTTTTCCCTAGAATTTTACTTTCTTTTTTGGGAAGGAAGTTTCACAAAAAACACCCCTATTAGAGTATGAAATAAAATAATCTATTTGAAAAGGAAATTTCACAAAATGGTCTCAAGTTTCATTTTCTCTTTTTTCTCATTAAAATTTTTCTTTCCGTATTTTTATCCCTATACACTTTTCTAATCCTTTTTCCATCCCTTTGCTCTTATTTCTTTTTCATATTTATTATTTTATTTCTCACTCTATTAGGAGTGTTTTTGTTTTGTAAAAATTTCTTTCCAAATAGATTTTTTGTCATTTTATTTTTCTTCCTGTATTTTTTATTTCATTTCCCTTTTATGTGTTTTTCTTCTTAATCAATCTCTTTTTATTAAGGATCTTTTTCCCACTCAACTTTTTGTTTTATTTTCTTTTTATTTTCACTTTCACATTTTTCCTCTTCTTACATATTTATGTTTTTTCTTTGTTCTTCTTTTTATCTTAATTCCACCATCAATATATTTCTTCTCCTATATCCATTATCATATTTTTTTAAGTAAGTACACTCATTAATTTCATCAAATGTGTGAAAAACTCTATGTGACAAAAGATTAGGAAAAAATAAAAATTGAAAGAAAAAACATTCGGGAAAATTTAGAAATAAAATATTATATTTTCATGAATGTTTTATTTTTATAATGTTTTTATCACATATAGTTTTTCCTATAATTGATAGATTTAATGGGTTGATTTACTTAAAAAATACAATAATGCAGAAAGGAGAAAAAATATATTGATGGTAGAATTAAGCTAACAAGAAGAAGAAAATAAGAAAGAAAAAAAAACATTAAAAAAGTAACAAGAAGAAAAAAGGTGAAAAGGTAATATAAAAAGAAAATATAACAAAAAGTAGAGTGAGAAAAGATCTTTAATAAAAAGAGAATGACTAAAAAGATAGAGAGAAAACTAATACGATAGAAAATAAATGACAAAAAATTGTATCTGGGGAAAATTTACAAAAAAAACTATTCTAATAGAGTGAGAAATAGAATATAAATAAAGAAAAGAAATAAGATATGAGTGTCTATGGAATAAAAAGGAATAAAAAAAGTGTCTATGGATGAAATAAAGAAAAAAGTTGTGTAGAAAAAAGAAAAAATGAAACATGGAATTATTTGGAGCAGATTTTTGAAAGGTGAAATTATATATTTATGTTTTTTCAAAATAAAGACAAAAAACTTGATATAGTAGGTCATCACCAATCGATCAGGGTCCAAAAAAGAAGATGGAAGACAAATGTTAAATTATTCTGGAATTACGTAAATGTGAGATTATTATGAGAAGATATATCGGTCATCAAGGTGAGATTATTCTTGTGATTTTGGAAATGTCAGTAACTACGGAGTACTAAGTAATAAAAAGGTAAATCATAATGGTCAAAACAATATAAAAATCGGGTGATGTGCTACCAACCAAAGACACCCTAAACGAGTTTGATGGTCTCCCCCTAAACCTTACCATAGTTTTGTCATTTTAGTAATTGCAAAGTTGACAACTAAATAGAAAGGAAGGAAAAGAAATCACTATATATTATCTTCTCCCATTTACTCACCACTACTGAAGGATAGTAGGACAATTTTATCCCATAATGGATAATAGGCAGTTTCTATGGTACCTTGAAGGTATGATACCTTGATGACATGGACCAATAATTTTTTTTTAATTGAATAATTTAAATGCAAATAAAATGTAAAACTTTGAATTACACCAATGAAATGCATTCTAGGTGTGGTACCCTCCTTTTTTTGTTGGGTACCATAGCAAGCACCTGGATAATATCCAAAAATGTATAATCAAAACGCCGTATATATATATGACTCGAGTGGTGTCATATATTCCGTATATCCCTACTAGTGACCACTGCAATTAATTAATCATCCCACAAACATCTGATTAATCAAATGTTTTCACTCTAATCTAACACTCTGGTCCTAAAATTAAATATATTTGGGTAAATTAATTAAATAAATAGTGTGAATACTTTCATGAAGATCGAACACGTATTAAAATTGTGAGAGGCATCATTTTTGGATCAAAATTATTACTCCGTATTATGTATATTTGTTAAATCAATGTGACACGTCATTAAAATGCAAATAAACCCTTTTATATGAGGCTCTGTTCGGCCGTCGTCATTTGGGGAGGTTTCCGGTGGAAGTTTTTGATGAATTATTTTGAGCATCTTCTTCATTAAGTATAGTTTACGCATATCAAATTTCAGTTAAACATTCAATCGGGAAGACAGTCAAATGAATTTTTGAAGATAACTGCGCAGTTAGACAACGCAGTATATTTCAGAAAACCATTTGACTACCTTATCGATTGAATGTTTAACTGAAATTTGGTATGGCTAAACTAGACTTAATGAAGAAGATGCTGAAAAAATTTCATCAAAAAATTCCACCGAAAACCATCCCAAATGATGACATCCGGACAAAGCCTCATGTAAAAGGGCTTATTTGCACTTTTTATGAAAGTTCGAGGGAGTGATAGTTCTCCCTATATTTTTAAAATACAAATGGATGTATCTTTTTTGGTCAAAATATGTCTCATAAATCCATTCAATCAACGTGATACGTAGTAGAAATTTAATCATATATATATATTCAGTGTAAAATGATGTTGTGTTAAATTGCTTTTAAAAAACTCTAGATCATGATGTTGTTTGAGTTTAGGGTTTAAATAATACTATTAATATTTTCTTCTTTTGTAAGGAACAGTTTTTTTTTCAAAAACTTTTATAACATTTAGGTCCAAACACTTATATAAGAAATAATACTAATCATCCGAAACAGAAACAGATGCTAAGACCTCCCCAGCTCAGTATTGATTATATTTTTGGGGATATAAATTTAAGATATCACAACAAAATATGAATACTAGCTCTTTTAATTTTGAGAACTGGAAACAGAATGCCTTCCTTATGCATCTAGGTCACAAGTCTTCACTTCATCTATGATCGATCTATCCTTATATGGTACGTACCAAATCATGTAAAATGGGGAAGCAATCTTTTCCCCTTTTAAAGGTGCCTTTTTGCCATTTTCCTTTTGTAAAGGTGCCTTTTTTTTCGATTTCCTTTTTCAAAGGTAGTGCCTTTTTTGCCATTTTCACATTCGGAATAATTTTCACTAATTACTACATAAATCGTGTTAATTTGAGTTAGCTTTTTTGCGTTTTAAACACGTACCGTTTTTTGGGTAAAAAACACGTTTAAACGAAAAATAATGTCGGTCCATTTGAAAAAGGAAAAAAACTCCTACTTTCCATTTAAACCGTTTTTTTCTCGTATTTTACAAAAAATAGAAATATGAATTGATCAATTGAATGAATGCGTTAAATGCATAGGAGATCAACAGTAGTTTAAAAGCAAAAAAGACAAACTTAAAATACTGCTAGATTTCTGATGTTTTTCCAAACAAGCATATCAAAATTAAAGTTTTTATAAACCATACATCTTTTAGTATAAACGTTTACACATAAACAGTAATAAGTACAGTAGTCGCACAACTTTTCTCATATGGCATCTATCATTTTGATGAAATTGATGAGTTTAACTTGAGTGTTATTTGATGATCATATAAAAATAACTTTAACTTAATCTTATTCTATTGTTATTATGCCTTATTTGTTGACATTAGTTTGAAAAATTATGTCTTGGACTTAATTACTACATAGTATTTTTATGTTTGTCATTGACTTATGCAATTATAATCTATTTTTTTTATGTAGTAATGTGATTTGCTACTTGAATATGTGTACATTATTGCTACTCCGTAGTATGTTATTTTGTGAAATATATAATTTAAATGTTCAAAATAATACCCCATACTTTTTGTCTGAATTTTTGTAAGAATATTGTATTATACACGTATACGCATTTACACGTATTTTAAAAGTCAACATTTTTTTCAATGAATTTTTGACTATTTTTCATTCATATTACCGAATAAAACGCGTACGTATTAAACCTCGTTTAATTCTCGCACGTATTTAACTAACTAGGGTACTGTGTTATATGGCGATCAGGCGATGGACTATGGAGCATTTTCCCCCTGAAGAGTTACCTCTAGGTAGTATTTGTATTTCCTAGCTAACTATCTCATGCTGAGACAAATATTAAGTTGAGTAACAAGTTCAATAAATTGCTGCAAATAGGAATAAAATATTCATGGATCAACGAACATGTGCTAAAAATGAAAAAGTAATTACGGGACTGACACAAGTTGGCCACATATTGATTCATGATTTTGTGTCATATACCTATTGCCAAAATGTTTTAGACACGGATTTGACGTATCTCTGCAAAAAATCTCTGTCAATCTCGTATTTGTTTTGTAGTGATACCATTATATCCGGCCAACAAATTATAGATCGTTGAATTGGCCGGGTAGATGGAATGTCAACAAATTTTTCATGACCCAAACGAAGCTGTGTAACAGAGAAGATTGTGTAGTAAAATGATAAGAAAAAATTAATAAGCTTGTTTGGTAATCAACTACTCCGTATTAGTTAAAAATTGTGTAGTACTCCATCAGTCCTAAAAAGATTGATACATTTTGACTTCTTTTTTTGTCAATGATGGTTAAGTTTGACCAATGATATCTTTTAATACAAAATTATTTAAAATATGAAAATTATATGAACATATTCTTTATTAAAAAATCTTACATAAAAGTATAAAATTTATAAATTACAACTTAACCTCAGGGTATTATATATCAGGAATTCAGGGTGATGCTTTGTGATATAAATGTGGAATATAATGATGCTACTGAAAAAGTGAATAAAAATATACTAGTAATACTCCTTAGTCTGAACTACAAATAATAATCACACTTTTTCTTTTTTATCTTTTCAAAGATATAATGGAAAATATGGAGAGTTTGATTAAAATAAAAGAAGTTGACAAAAGTATGACTTTTTATAATTGAGTGGGTATGATTATGTTCAGTTAAGTTATAATGAAAATGATGATACTCATATATGTAGTAACTTTAATCATATTTTGTTTTTATATTTTATTTCAGTACGTAATATGGAAAAAGCCAAAATAACAACCATTAAATAAAATATTATATGATCCAAAACCTTCTAATTTTTTTCTTTTTATTGAACTTTTAACTTTTGACAAAATACACTTCATGAAATATATACTGCGTACATCAATCCGTTTTTAGGCCATGTCATAATTTATTTAAAATTAAACACACATGATCACAAGAAAAACATGTTTACTATACATTAATTAAGTCGCTAATTAAAATTCAATACTTCTGGAGTGCAATTATTCCCGTTACTTACTTATCATGTTACCCATAAGTAACTTTTCGACGTTTAATAACTGGAAACCACATACGGACGTACCAAAAAATATTAGGGGTGAACAAACTGGTGTATATATTATTATTTTAGTCATTAGAAATCTAAATTTGTAAAGCCTAAAAGTATGAAAAGCGTGCTTAAAATTAAAAGCGAAAAGTTTTTCTCCTCCAACGCCATTACTCCACTTAATTATTCCAGTGTGGCTTAACTCTGACTATTCAATTTCAATGTACCATCAATATATATTTTAGTGACCTAATATAGTTTTTTTCTATGGGGTCTTTTACAAAAATTTTACCAAGATAAAATTTATTTATACAAATATGACTAATAGTTATTACAATGTAATCTCATGCTAACTTAAATTTAAAAATTAAATATGAATTACTATGATTTCATTACTACTCCAGTCACCAGTCACATTTTGCTAAATCATCTTTATTTTTGTCATATTTATGTAATTATTTCTTTTTATTATATTTCATAGGGATGAAAATAGGAGTTCAAAATTCAAAACCATATTACGGGTACTATATACTATCTACTATGTATTTCCATAAATAAGAGTAACTTACTCTTGTCCTGAAATTTTACAGTTATATTTTGGCATTACCAAATTTTAATATAACAACACTACTGTCATCATTGACATTATGTTTAAGAGCCCGTTTGGAGACATCTTTTTCGGCTTATCAGGTTTATCAGACAGTTTTTTCACCAAACACGAAACTTTTACTTTCGTGTGTTGAATTGTGTAATAAGCACAAAAAGTAAGGTCGGAGTTACTTTTCTGGCTGTAATGGCTGAAGTTACTGCAGAGGACCATTTTAGCTATTTTTACATGTAATTTTTTCTTTAATTTATTAATAAAATATATTTTTAAAATATTTTTTTCTTGAATCAGCACAATCAGCCAAAACAGCCACTTCAACCAGAACTTCATAAATTTCAGCAGAATCAGCCAAAACAGCTGATTTTCGTGCTATCAAACGGGCTCTAAATGTGATACTAATTATTCATATTTAGAAAATAAAAGCACGGTATTCATGTTTTGGAATTCCTCATTGTTTTTGTTTATATTTAGGATAATATCTTTAGTTTATACTCCGTACTTCGTACAAGTTTTGAAATGACTACTTCATATATTTTTATATAAATGTATATACATGTAATCTAAATGCCGTTTGCTACTCTATTTTTCAGTTTATCAGTCTTATCAATCAATTTTTTCACCAACACATGTAACTTTTGATTTCGTGCGTTGAGTGGTGTAAAATCAAAATAACTAAAGTTGGAGTTATTTTTCTAGCTGGATTGACTGAAGTTAGCGTAGAAGATCATTTTAACTCTTTTTTATATAAATTTCTCTTTATTTTATTAATAGAATATAATTTAATTTTTTTTCTTTCATAATTCAGAATAATAAGTCAATACAATCATTTCAGCCAGACCTTCCTCAAAACTTAAAAAATGGGTGGATTCAACAATTTCTAAGTGAATCTCCAAAGTTTAGAAGGATAAGTCCAAAGATTGATTACATATGCGGCGACACCTAGGCCTAGCTGCTATATAGCTAGGGTTCGGGATCCTCTACAGCATGTTAGAGTCCCTTGCGCAACGGACGGTCAAGGAGCGGAGAGGACGGCCTTGAGATCAGCGAAAGAGTGAACCCCAAGATCTCCGACCGTTGAATTTTCGATCGGACGCCTGTGAAGAAGCAAGACACTCTACCTTGCTCTAAAGCAAGGCAGAGACTCCGGATCCTATAGGTAGCGGTTCATAATTATATGGGAAAAAGATTGTACACAGTTTTTACTATTTACACACTTTTACACACATTTGTAAAAGCTTTTTGTTTGTGAATACACTGTTCACAGACAAAAGAAACCTTCGCAGACATGCGTAAAAGTGTGTAAATAATAAAATTGAACACAAAAAATTGTTGTAATTATATACTCCGATCTAATGTTGTGAAGCTTGAAATTGACATATAGAAAGCGAAATTTCTCGAAATAGGAGTAAAAATGTTTGAAAATGCTAAACTTGGATTGTCATATGAGTAAAACACTGCCAAATTTAAAGTTTGATATTGCCAAAAGATAACTGTAATTACTCTTAATTAAAGAATAAAAAAGTAATAGTCTTATTTTGGAATAAACAAACATTTTTATGATCAGACTAATTTCACCAAATAATAGATACGAATCACTACGTACGTCGGAGTATATATACCATTAACATCCAAATGTAACTTACGTAATTAATACTACCTAATAAAACCCATCTATCCGAAAACAGTTGATCGAATGTAAGTGAATATATCGTATACCCCATCTATAGTAAAAAAAATTAAAAAATTATATTTTGAAAATTTAGAATGAGAAGAATTTAACAATATTTTTTAAAAAAATTAATTTATAATACATTAATTAATAAATTATAGTCAAAGTAGAATATGTGAATAGTGTAAAAAGTCCAATGTTGCAATTAAAAGAGAATGGAGGTAGTATATGTCACGAAAATCAAAGAAAACTAAAGGATAATATTAATTAGTGCGTGCTTGATGAAAGAATCAAATGAATATACACATCCAAACTAAGAAATGAAGAAATAATAATAGCAAAACTCCGTAATAATGAAGATATATTGATGGAGGAAGAAGCTAATTAAGCACGTACCTTAATTAATCAGGTAGCTTAGCTAGATCGAGCGAATGGGATGAAATTAGATCTAGTAGCTAGCTTTATTTGTTGGATCTTCGATCAATTCTAGCTTCCTTATAGCTTCTTGCACCACTCCCTTATTACATTAATTACCACTTCTAGATTGAAAAGATAGGTAGCTGGCCTGGGAATATAATGTAATTCATATATATATTTATAATCCGGGCAGGCCGGGCACTAAGCTAAATGTATGAATTATGTATATGTACGTAGTAGGTATCAATGGAGTTCTTTATTTATTATGATCGAGTACGTACGTGAAAGTTAGGGAAGAAAAAAGAGGATCGGAGTAAGGTAACGTACAGATGGAAGAGCGCAGGGAGATGCAACAAAGGGAAAATGACAGTTAAAGTAAGACGAAAGGCCGGAGATGCAACAATGGGAAAATGACACTTTAAAGTGTTCATTGGGGCAGGCACAGCATAGCGCAGCTGCCACCCACCCAGCACTCTACTACCTGTTAGCTAGTACCACTCCCACATACTATACTTACATGTAGACACTATACTATCTCGGGGTGATAACTCTGAAATTGCCTGAATTTTGGTGAAACTTAATCAAGTTTTAGCTGAAGTGGTTGTCTGGCTATATTGGCTGATTTTGATGATTTATGAAAAATTATACTCTTTCCGTCCCGCAAAGAAGTTCCCGCTTTCCTTTTTAGCAGTCTAAAAAAGAAGCTCCATTTCTTTAAATGGGAAGTTATCTACATCAAAACAGTATCAAACAATACAAAACAGTGTCAAACAATGTCGAAACAGTGTCAAAACAGTAAAATTTACCCAGTGGTAAGTTTATTTCCTAAATATGTGTGTAGGTCAAACCAGTAAGTTTAATATATGAAAAAAATAGTTAAAATGATCCTCTACAACACTAACTTCAACCAATACAGCCATAAAAGTAACTTCATCCTCACCTTTTCTTATTATTACATAATCAGCGCACGAAATCAAAAGTTACGTGTTTACGTGAGAAGTCAAAAGGCAGGGTTACGTTATCAAACGGCCTCTCTGTCTCATAATCTGATGGAATGGGTAAGATCGATTACGAAAGAAATGGCTTAATTGCCTAATTATAAGAATATTATATTTAAAAAAGACTAAACTTTACTAAAAAATAAAGAAATTGTAATACGGAGTACTCCGTATGAAAATAGTTAAAATAGTTTTTTTCATAAATCTGATCTCGATCTTACTTATTTTTATTATTACTCTGTATTAAGTGTTCTAAAAGTCGGCAAAAGGTAGGGCCTAAGCGTGAGGCGGCGGGAAAATACCTCACATAGTAGAAAGACATTAAAAATGCGGTCAACTGAAGAGTTGACCAGGCCATCAAAAGCATGAAAAAGCGTAAGTCTAGACGCGAAAAGGCGGAAGTTCTTTAGATAATTATTTTTTGCAAAGAAAAAATTAATTATATTAAGAAAAATGATTTTTATAAACATGTTATATATGTAATCTAATACAGGGTGGTAAAAAGGCAATAATATACTACGTGGTATGTATATTTTATATTTTCACTTATTTGCATTTAAAAAACTATACGATACATAAGGAATAGCGTAAAATTTCGGCTCAATGTTGTATAACATTATTTAATTTGGACATTTATTTATTTTCTTCATATATCAACTGCTAAAACGCTTATTCTCGCCTGGACTTTAAAGGCTTGAGACTTGACCTAAATAACTTGTCACGCTTCAAGCCTTTCATATTAATGTCCATATTATAGAATTTAATATGCGAAATAAAAAATTGCATCTTTAATAAAAAAAATGATTGATAAAGTTGATAAGGCAAAAAATATTATATGAAATGAGGTATATGTAACTTGACTAACTTCATTCAACCTAACTAACATTCTACGTATATTTTATATACATATAAATAAATACTACGGAGTACTACGTACTTTTAATCTTATGTTTGGATTGAAGTGATTGTTTGGCAAGCTAGCAAATATATTTACTCTTCGTTTCCCACATACACACATCATTCTTGTTTTTTAATCACCCGCTACATTTTGTAACATTATTTATGAATCGCGTGTCAGCTGGAAAATTTATTATTTACGTCTTTGATTTGATCATTTTTATTACATGACTATTGCATTTTCGTTCATATATAGTTCTTCTGGCAATGATTTTGATGATTAAAATTGCCGGAGAATGACCATAGATGGTCAAGAAACACTAATTAAGTACCAAGAATGGATAAAGTGAAAAACGTGTGAAATTGAAATAAAACTCGTATGATCAAAACTGAAATAAATTTAATGTATATTAGGCACAAATAATGGAAAAACTTATTGCCTGAGTTTCTAATAATGCTTAACATTCATTACCTCCATCTCGCTTTATTTAATCATTTTTTATTTTCCTACTCAATTCAAAGATGGTAAACTAGAATAAATTTAATGTATATTCGGCACACCTAATGGAAAAACTTATTGTTGGGTTAATGGCTCAACAGGGATTGGCCCATAAATCCATTAAGGTCCACCCTACGAACATCTCCACAGACATGAGAACAACAAGGAGTGCCTCCCCCTCAGAACACGCGATGAACGTCTTCTATGGGCCACCAAGGCCCAATCCTATGGATAGCCGGGTGCGAGGGTCCAGGGGCTGCACGACGTTCGGTGTCTTGGACTTGAGGCCAACAGGAAACATGAGGCAAGCTCATGGGGATGAACATCCCCACCCCTTGGCGGGAGCCAAGATCCTGGCATAGACGGGTGCTTCGACCTAGGGGCGACACCTGATGCACGTCTCGCAGGACTTTGGACCCAACAGGAAATAGGAGGCAAGCTCATGGGGACGAACGTCCCCACCCTTTGGCGGGAAGCCAAGATCCTGGCGGGAAGCGCATTTAATGCAGAGATTTGGTGGTTGAAACCCCAACCATCCACAGCTCGCCACGCCAGTTTTATCCAACTACCCATTAACAGTATAAATAGGAGGATTTCCCTCCATGTTAAGCGTTGGTCTCTTCTTCCCCATTTCCTCCTCCTTCTCTCTGGACTAGCTAAAAGACTCCATTATGGGAGCTCAAGTGTACAATGTAACGGTGAGGAGAGCCTAATAAAATGAGAGGGCTTGGACATTAGCTAGAACAGTCCTGTGGTTTTCTCCCTTTCCGGGTTTCCACGTAAAAATAGCTTGTTTCTGCATCCATTTCACCGCATTTCCACTCGAGACCCCTAGGTTGCGTGTTGGGCCTATGGGTTGAAGGAATAAACCTCAACAACACCGTCTGTGGGAACACGCTCGAAAAGATTTACGTGTTCTTGATTTTCTGCAAAAGATGCATACGAAGTGAACTGCTTTTGGTTTTTTACGAAAAGATTTCATGTGTTCTCGAATTTCTGAAAATGTTGGTAGGAAGATGAACTGATTTTGATCAGTCTCAACTCTCAAGACCAAGTCAAACTTCACAAAATTCCCAAGTGGCCGATATTCCAGAGCTAAGTGTCATACATACCCTGTCATTTACTTATTGACTAAGTATTAAAATAGTATTATGATTGCTATTATTTGTTATCACCATTGTTTATTAGGGATTATTAAAATGTCCTGAATTAAATAATGACGAGCAAGGCTCCTGTGATATGATAGATTTCACCGTCATTTTTATTTAATGATTAGGAGACGGACCAAGTCGAGCCGAGCAGAGGGTCATTATACCCTGAGGCCGACGGGCACATCCGAAAAGAACCCCTAGGCTGGTGGTCTTTCCCGGAAGTGCCCCAGGCCAACATACATAAAAAAAGAAAAAAAAGGTGTGCACAACATACATATTGCTGGCCATTTGGCTGTGTTACGATGTTCTTTGTGCAGATAAAGATCATAATCGGGGACGGATGATGCTCAGAATGAACCGAACGAGAGGTATCGTAGTGGAGACGAGCATCTTCCACCAAAAGGCAGAGGATCTAGAGAAGACCAGCACGGCCAAGGGCCTGGAGACAAACATATTCCACCCAAAGGCCGAGGGTCTAAAGAAGACCATCACTGCCGAGGGCCTGGAGACGAGCATCTCCACTTCAGAGGCCAAGGGCCTGGAGACAATCATACATCATCCAGAGGCCGAGGGCCTAGAGAAGAGCTCTCACGGCCCCTGGGGACGAGCATCTTCGCCCCTAAGACCGTGGTCCGTGAGACGAGCATATCCATTTCAGAGGCCAAGGGCCCAAAGACGAGAATCTCCACTTCAGATGCCAAGAACCTCAAGGCGACCATCAGAGGCCAGTGCCTGGAGACGAGCATCCCCACCCAGAGGCCAACGACCGTGAAACGACCATCTCCATCGTGTTATCACCGTCATCACCACTTGCCACCATGCCATCATCATATTCAAAGACCCCTAAAAAAAGATATAGAGGGGCACCAGGGAATCCCAAGAGGATAAACTCGTTCCCCATCAACCACGTAGGCCTAGCTCAACTCGGATCCAAAGGACCGGGCTAAAGAGCAGGTACGACGAGCGGATGGCGGAACAAAATAGCAAAGGAATCCCTGAGGATAAACCCGTTCTTCATCAAGATCATCGACCTCACGTTGCATTGGACTCAGGGGCAGCACGGAGGACCGGTGAGAAGATGGTTGAGCGAAAACCAGCGAATCCTAGGAGATCAACTCGTTCTTCATCAAGATCATCGGCCTCGCGTAGCATAAGACCCAGGGGCAACGCGGAGGACTGGTGAGAAGATGGTTGAGCAAAAAACCAGTGAATCCTAGGGGATAACTCGTTCTTCATCAATATTATCGGCCTCGTGCAGCATAAGACCCATGGGTAGCACGGAGGACCGATGAGAAGATGGTTGAGCGAAAACCAGCGAATCCTAGGAGATCAACCCGTTCTTCATCAAGATCGTCGGCCTCGAGTAGCATAGGACCCAGGGGCAGCATGGAGGACCGGTGAGGATGGTTGAGCGAAAACCAGCGAATCCTAAGGGATAGACCTATTCTTCATCAAGATCATCAGCCTCACGCAGCATAAGACCAAGGGGCAGCACAGAGGACCAGTGAGAAGATGATTGAGCAAAATACCAGTGAATCCTAGGGGATAACCCGTTCTTCATAAAGATCATCGGCCTCGCGCAGCACAAGACCCAGGGGTAGCACGAAGGACCGATGAGAAGATGGTTGAGCGAAAACCAGCGGATCCTAGGGGATGAACCCGTTCTTCATCAAGATCATCGGCCTC